AAGCACGGCTCCTGGTCTCGGCCCCGGACATGCTAACACGTTAGAGGTGCTCGTCTCTGGTGTCAGACGTGATCCCTGGAGCTCTCCGTGCTGCCGCGGGCACAGTCCTCGCACTCAGCTCCCTGGGCCGGGATTCGCCTCCAGCGGCAGGTGGCGGCCCCTCCGCAGGGCAGCGTGAAGAAGGGCTTTGCCCTCGGACCAGCCTCCGTGAGCAGGGACACGGGAGCCGTTCGCTCTGTCAGGTCTGGGCTGGAAGACAGGCCCCGAGCCAGCGCCCCCCCAGCCAGTGCTCCCGGCTGCTGCATGTCTTGTGACTCAGTCCTTGCGCTCGAGGGGCGTGTGTGTATCTGTGTGCCCACACATGTGGTTGTGTGTACGAGTGTATATCTGTGTGCCCACACATGTGGTTGTATGTCTGAGTGCATACCTGTGTGCCCATGCATGTGGTTGTATGTGTGTGTATCCCTGTGCCCATATGTGTGGTTGAATGTGTGTATCTGTGTCCATATGTGTGGCTGTATGTCCATACATGTGGTTGTGTGTGTGTGTATCTGTGCCCATATCTGTGGTTGTGTGTGTATCTGTGTGCCCACACGTGTGGTTGTGTATGTGTGAGTGTGTGTGGACCTGCACTGTGGGTTTGCACCTGTTCAGGTCCGTTTGCCTGACTTTGTCCTCTGTCCGAGGTCCTTGCTTCCCCCGCTGCATGTTCCTGAGACCCCCCCATGTGGAAGGCATGGCTGGTCCCTGCGTTCCTTGTGGGAAACCCCCCACTTCACTTGCCGTCCTACCGTTGCCGGGCATTTGCGGTGTTCGGACCCACGCAGCCGGGAGTCTGCTGTGTCTCCTACGACCTGTATGAGCCGTCGTCTAGGATGGGTCTGTGGGCGGCCTGGCGGTGGGAGGCGGTGGGAGGCGGCGCAGAGCGATCGCCCGCCCCGTGCGGCTGCGTGGGCTGCCCTTGGGCTTTGGTTTCCACTTCTCTGCCTATTGGTGAGGTGGTGCTTTCCCGTCTGGTTTTTAGACACACGCACGCTCCCTCACACACGCGCACTCACACACACGCACGTGCACACATATGCACATGCACTCACATGCACGCACTCACACACTCGTACAAGCGCACTCACGCACGCACACACACACTCACAACGTGCACTCACAGGTACTCACGCACTCACACACGCACTCACAAACACAGTTTACACATGTGCCTCAGGGTCATGTGGTTAGAAACATCAATGAGAGAATCATGGACCGGCTGCCTGCTGTACGCCCCCCACTGGGGATCGAGCCGGCAACCTGGGCAGGTGCCCCATGGGAATCAAACCACAATCTCCTGGTTCACAGGTCGATGCTCAACCACTGAGCCACACCGGCCAGGCACACGGTCCTTTTTCTTTTGTGGTTTGTGTAGTCGGATCTCTGTTCACCACGGCCCGGCCCAGCTGGGGGATCCTCCCTGTGGACCTGGCAGGGGCTGCAGCTGCGGCTCAGCTCTCACAGACGGGAGGGCAGGGAGAGCCTTTCCACAGAGAAGTGCAGCCTTGCTGGTCGGGGCGGCTGCTCTCAGGCTCCAGAGGGGATGGGCGCGGTGGAGGGGGGCTGAGAGCCTGTGTCGGATGCAGATGCGCTGGTTTGAGTGAAAGGTCACAGCTCTCGTCCCAACCCGAGGTCATCGTCCTAAGCACAGGGGCCTGCCCGCCCCCCCGCCCTCCAGGTTCTCAGTCCTTCTGCACCTGCCGGTGAGGGAGGGCAGGGACGTGGACAGGCTGCCTCAGTGGTTTCTCCGGGACCCTGGGCAGAAGCAGCGGGTCAGCGTTTCAGGACACAGCCTCCTGCCTGGAGCTGGGCCAGGAGCAGTCAGGCCGACTCCATGGAGCGAGGAGGCTCGCGTCCCACGTGCTGCCCCACAGGACGTGGCTCCTCAGACCAGCGATGGGTGTGACAACGTGCCAGCCGCCCGCAGAGCTGCCCTGCCCTGCATGAACATCGACGTTCGTGCATTCATTTCACTCTGTCACTCAGACGGCATTGCTGCAAAGTGAAAACAGTGGAGAGGGTGGCTGTAGGGCAGTGGGAAGTGAGCATGGTGCCCACTGAGGGCCAGGGCCGGCCCTGCTCTGAGACCGTTCCCTCTGAGGCCTGGCTCGGCTCAGTGGCGCCTCCCCCAGGGCTCGGACGCTCTCTCTGGAAGTATAACGTGTGCTCCCCCTCCTCCCCGACAGCTGCGGATCACGGTCTGGTCCTTGTGCACAAAGTCCGTCTCGTACATCAAGTACCCGAAGGCCTGTCAGCAGGGTGAGTGCGCAGACCGCGGGGTCCAGGCCTCGGGCGCTGCTGTGGGTCCTTTGCTCTTTTTATCGGGAAATTTCAGCCACAGGCTGCAGTGCCTCCGCCGTCAGTGTGTCGGCCCCCAGCCGCTCTGTCTGCTCGAGCCCCCCACCCTCGGGTCATGTTACCTCCTCCTGGGCCCCCCGGTTATCTCATCTTCCTCTCGGGTTGTTCTAAAGCCTGTCCACCTCTGTATGTCCGTCTGTGAATGAATATTTCCCGCGCCTCCAAAGACCAGGACCCCTTCAAACGCCCCAGGGGCTGAGGAGGCCTGAGTGAGGGCATCAGAGGCGAGGCGTTCCGTGGCCGTCCTGCCCTGTCTCAGGCCTGAGGGGCCCCACTTCACGCCTTGAATTCTGAACCTTCAATCTCAGTCTTCTGTTGGCTCAGTCTGTGGTCTCTGTCCAGGGACATGGTGACCTGCCCCATCTGGACATCCCAGAGGAGGGCTGAGGGGCGGTGTCCCCTGGCCATGGGGAGGGCGGGGCAGACGCACCCGCGCTGAGGTGGGTGGGCCACGAGGCTGGGTGGGGGTCCTGCTCAATGCAGCTACAGTGGCGCGTCCTCCATGCGGCCAGCGGGGAGGCGTTGCATATTGAGTGGTTCCCCCCTTTGCTCTGTGGCCTCGGCAGTTTGGAGCTTGCGTTTGGACGGGGGGCGGTGGTACATTTGACATTTACTTCTGGTTTGAAAGCGGGTGTCTCCTGAGGCCGCGTGAGCATTTCCCACGTGGAGACGACCCTCCGACTCAGGCCGCAGGAAGGGTGAGCTGGGCGTTGTCAGCTCGTTCCGACAGGAAATGCGGTGTAACATTTCCAGCGTCTTATCTCGAAGCTCCTTCTTCCAAGGAATTAGGTTCAGAAGTAACAATAGAAGCGCAGGGACAGGCTGATCCGACGGCTGAGCCCTGTGGTCTGTGTCCTGTCTCCAGGACAGTCCGGGCTGCGTGTGCAGCCACCGGGTCCTCGGGCAGGCTGCCTCGTCCTCATCCTCACGGGCTCCCGGCAGGTGCGCGCCCGCAGGAGCCGGACCGCACTGCCCTCGCCCCCGCGTTGCTCTGTCTGCCTGGACCGCCCTGCCCCTTCTTCCTTAAACCACCCTGGCCTGCCTTCCGTCTGGCCTTGATTCCGCCCGTTCCTCTTGCTGGCAGGAATCACCTTTTCCCGGGACGGCCGCTACCTGGCCTTGGCCGAGCGGCGGGACTGCAAGGACTACGTCAGCATCTTCGTCTGCAGCGACTGGCAGCTGCTGCGGGTGAGCGCTCCTCCCGCGGGACCTTGTCCTCGCCGCGTGGCAGGGAGTGGGTGTGCCTGTCCTCAGGCTTTCGGGCCCTGCGGGGTCCTGTGGGAAACGGAACTCCCATCTCCGAGGGCGGGTGCTACCTGCGACTCCACGAAGCACCCACAGGTGAAGCGTGTGAGCCGTGGTGGGATGGTGCGGGCCGGGGTGCGCTGCGGGATTGCCGGCCAACGGGAGCCCTTCCCCTTCCGGCCTATCCATGGCATGTGGCGCCTCGTCAGGCGGAGTGTGGACTTGAACCCAACTCGGACTCCCCAGGGCCCGGAGGTGTCCCCGGCTGCAGGTGGGAGACAGGCAGGCTGGGCACAGAACCCGCTGGAACGCCGTCAGAGCTCAGGGAGAAAAACCGGAAGGACACGTGGGAGCCTTCCACCCATTGCTGTCTGAGGAACGTGCACCCGGGACGCATTAGCAACATCGGCTGTACAAGCACGTCCGCCCCAACGTAACCTGCTTCTCCCCTTCCCGTGGCAGCACTTCGACACGGACACCCAGGACCTGGCCGGCATCGAGTGGGCGCCCAACGGCTGCGTACTGGCGGCGTGGGACACCTGCCTGGAGGTGGGAGGTGCTTTGCCACGTTCATCCTCGCTTCCTCGGCTGCGGTGCCGTTGACAGCCGATCCGTCCGCAAACCTCACCGCTGTCTAGCGACCACCGCTCCCAGCTACCGCCCCGGGTTCCTGTGCCCCGGGTCCCTGTGCCCCGGGCGGAGCCTGGCCCCGCTCGTCCTCGCCTCCCATCTGTGCACTTGTGCTCGCCCGGCTTCGTGGGCGCTCAGCTAACGGCGCCCTCTCTCTTGCAGTACAAGGTCCTGCTCTACTCCCTGGATGGCCGGCTGCTGGCCACGTACTGCGCATACGAGTGGTCCCTGGGCATCAAGTCGGTGGCCTGGAGCCCCAGCAGTCAGTTCCTGGCACTCGGCAGCTACGACGGGAAGGTGGGCAGGGCGCCCGCCGTAGGGAGCCCAAGGATGGCCCGGGTGGCGGGTGTCCCCACACAGCGCGTCTCATGCGTGGCCCTCCCTCAGGTGCGCATCCTCAATCACGTGACCTGGAAGATGCTCACCGAGTTTGGGCACCCCGCGGCCATCAGTGACCCGCGAGTGGTAAGTGGCACCTGTCTCCATGGGAGCAGCGCTGGGAGGCGGTGATGCTGTGATGCAGGGCTCCATCCTGCGGCCAGGGGACCGGGACAGCCAGACTTGCTGCCAGGGCCTTCTCCTGCCCACACTCCCACGGGGCGCCAGGCGGTGTCCCTTGCCCTGCATCCCCCCAAATGGCTCATCTCTGATCTGCTCCTGCACTATCCGGCCTCCTGCCTGCCACGCAGAGCCATAGAGCCCTGCCCGGTGGAGGGTGAGGCTGGGAGAGCTGGTGTCTCCCAGGGTGGGTGGGGACGCTGCCACCTTGGGACGGGGCAGACCTCTGGGATGTGGTGCAAGATGGGGAGGAGTGTGCCAGGCAGCGGGGCGAGACTGAGGTGGGAAGGTGCTGGGGGGCCAGGGGCAGTGGGGACACAGAGCCTGGTCTGGGGAGTTCCTCGCCCACAGATGGGGACCTCAGTAAGCGGGCAGGTGTGTGAGGGCCTGAGCTGGGCGTGCTGCAGGGACAGTGTGAGGTCAGGTGGCCCCGGAGCCAGGAGGTTCAGTGAAGACGGGAGGGAGCAGGACTGTGCTGGCGGCTGGGGCGTCTGTGTGTCAGGCAGTCAGCTGTCCCCAGGCCTCGGGGACGTAAGTCGGGGTACTCGCCGCTGCCTGTCAGCCAGGTCACACGGTCCTCACTCCGAGCCTGTCACTCCCCAGGGAGCTGCTCACGTTTGCTAACTGGCCAAGTGGATGTGGAGCTGCCCCCATCAGCTTTGTCCTTAGGGGGCTTTTGGGGCCACACCGAACCCCAGCAGGGAGCAGTGCCCTGTGTCCTGCACCCGCAGCGGCAGCACCGCCGTCCCTGTCTTGCAGGTGGTGTACAAGGAAGCGGAGAAGAGCCCGCGGGGGGCGCTGGGCCGGCCCGCCTGCCCGCCACCCAGGGCCGCCGAGAGCAAGTGTGAGCCTTTCCTTGTTTGTGGACGGGCTCCCTGTCCCGTCCTCGTCAGCGGTCCTTCCTCCTGTCCTGGCAGCCGGGGCCTTCCCCAGGGGGCGTGGCTTTTGTTGACAGACTCTCAGCCCTGGAGTCCGATTTGACGCCCCGAGGGCCTTGTTTCAATCAGAGCAGAGCTCCCTGGAGGAGCCTAGGGTCGGGAGCGACAGTGGGAAGGGCTGGCGGGCTGTTCCCTGTCCTGGCTGCGGCCTGGGTCTCCTGTGACCTGGCATCAGACACGCTTTAAGTGGAGCCCAGAACGCAGCCCAGGGCTCGGCGAGCGCTCATGGGCGGCCGGGCACACAGCGCGCTGCTCATGCCCCGTCAGCATCTCGCGCTTCTGGTCTTGTCTTGCTCTTTCCTTTCGATGATCTTTTTAGAAGCTCTTAGGGGAGGCACAGGTTTCCCCCATCCCCACATTCTCGGTACCCCCTGGGGATGTTTGTCACAGCGGGTGACCCTGAATTGACATGAACCTAAAATAGCACAGTGTATGGTCACTTCCCCAAACCTGCGTCCCATACGCCTTTTCTCACCTGAGGAGTCCAGGGCGAGGCTGTCGGGTGGGCAGCAGCGGCTGGGAGCCGAGGTGCTGGGACTGGGAGGAGCAGGAAATGCCAGGACCGCGCTCGGGAGGTGCTCCCCACGGATCTCACGCCAGCCTCCCATGGGCCCTTCTGTCGCTCAGGTTTTGCCTGATGCTTTCAAGGCCGTATAACCTCTTCCTCTGTCTAAACCAAGCAGTCGGGGTCAGAGGCTCTGCCCGTGGCGGCAGGATCGCGGCCATGCGGGTCTCCAGGTGCGTGCGCTGTGCTGAGGCGGGTGTCGTGTTCTAGATGAGATCGCCTCGGTGCCGGTGTCCCTGCAGACGCTGAAGCCCACCGCCGACCGAGCAAACCCGAAGATCGGCGTCGGCGCGCTGGCCTTCAGTCCCGACAGCTATTTCCTGGCCACGAGGAACGGTGAGCGCTGTGCCTACTCGCTGTGCCCCATGGGGCCGGGACACCAGCTGTTTGAAAGGGCGTCAGCTGACAGGCCCGCCTGTGCATCCTCCCCACGCACTCCTGAAACGCGGGTCCTCCCTGGCCCCTCTGCCCCCTGCCTCCCTGCACGCGCCCCGTCCTTGGTGAACAGGGGCCCAGGCCCCCGACAGCCCTGGCCTCTTCCTGTGAGAAGGGCTTTTACACGTTGAAGGTTATTCTCAAAACACCAGAACATGCCCGTGTGGCCGGTGAGCCTCGGAGTGACTGGTGGCCCCTACAGACCTGGAAGCACGAAGGCTCCCCCTCCCAGGGCCCGTGTGGAGACCAGGACCCCACATCCGCTGTGTCAGGGCCCATGGCAAGGCCGGGCGGGGCTGAAGCAGGCCGCTGGGGGCGGGTTTGACCGGGGACCGTCCGTCTCCCCTCAGACAATGTCCCGAACGCAGTGTGGATCTGGGACGTGCAGAAGCTGCGGCTGTTTGTGGTGCTGGAGCAGCTGGGCCCCGTGCGCTCCTTCCAGTGGGACCCGCGGCAGCCCCGGCTGGCCATCTGCTCGGGAGGCAGCAAGGTGTACCTGTGGTCGCCGGCGGGCTGCGTGTCTGTGCAGGTGCCCGGGGAAGGTGAGCAGGCTCCGGGGGCCCAAGGCTCTGAGCTCCGGAGAGAGGCCCGTCTGGGTTGAGGCGGTTTGTTTTGGGCTCCAGCTGGGTCCCTGCCCCGTCCCCGCACCACCGGCTCTGGGCTGCTCCCCCTGGGACCTGGCCACCCGCTCTAACCCTCGGCCACGTGTCCTCCTCCAGGGGACTTCCAGGTGCTCTCGCTGTGCTGGCCTGTCACGGGGGACTCGCTGGCCCTGCTCAGCAAGGACCACTTCTGCCTGTGCTTCCTGGAGACGGAGGGCGGGGCTGACGGCGCCCCCGGGCAGCTGGGCGACCACACGTAGGACGCGCGGCAGCCGTGGGAAGGGACGCAGACGCGCAGAGCTGTGGGGAGCGGGCTCGGGGCAGCTCCAACCATGGTCCGTGGAGACAGCTTGTGTTTGTTTCCCTAAAAGCTGCAATTTTGTAACTTAAATGTTTGCTAATTCATAAAAAGGCTGATGCTGGTTTTCTTGAGGGTTTGGTCACAGGGGTTCTCTGGGTTCGGTGTCTTAGGGAGCAGCACTGAGTCCCCAGCAGCTGGTTCCCCTGAGACAGACACATGCTGGCTCCGAGCTCCTGTCATCGAGTCTCAGGCAGACGGCGTGCTCTGGGTGCAGGAGGGAGCCTGGGGCACCCGAGGGTGAGCCACGAAGTGGCGGTCAAGGTCAGTCCCACCTGCTAAGTGGGTCCCGCGGGGAGTTTCCACCCCAGCTGTGGCCCTGACACACGGTCAGCAGCTGGTCCAGGTGTGTCTGACAGGCCGCCAGGGGAGAGCCCGAGAGCCCTCGTCACTGCCTGCCATAGGGGCCGGCTCCCAGGACGAGAACAGAGCAGTCTGGGCTTCAAGATGCACTCACGCGAGAGGAACCGTCTCGGTTGTTGCACTTGTTTTAATAACTTCAAAAAAGGAACGACACCCAATCGATTCTCAATGTCTTTTACTGCGAGACAGAAAGCAGAGGTTCGGGGCCAGGCCGTGTAGGCAGCCTGCCCAGCGAGAGGCACTGCGTCTGGGTCCCATCCACCCCAGTCCAGCCCCCCAGGGCTGGAAGTGAGGAGGGAACCGGCCAGCTGGTGTTGTAGCAACAAGCCTATCAACAAATGTCCCGTCAGAGCCGCAAGCTGGACCTGCGTGGGGCGGCGGGCTGTGGTCCCCGTGGGGACGTGCTCCCTGGGCGGGAGGCCAGGCGTGGGTAGGTGAGACCCTGGCGAAGCCTGTGTCTGCGTGGGCGCCGCTTCCTGAGAATACAGTTCCTTGTTAAAGTGCTTTCTTTAAGAGCAAACGAAGCGATTCCCTTTTCAGACACGAGTGTGACAGCACAAACCCAGAGTGCAGCAGCTGTCCCTGCGGGCGGACGGCTCGGGGGCGTCAAACCAAGGAGCGGCCTGCAGGGACTGCAGCTTCTGGGCGAGGAGGTGCCGGTGAACTTCAGATCCGACACCTGCTCACACAGCAGCCGCCCGCCCGCCCGGAGCTGACGCAGGCTTCCCCCTGCTCACCGCACCAGGCGGCTGGCTTGTCTTCAGCTTTAAAACGCGGATCGTGTGCCTGAGTACACGGCTGGACACAAGTGTAAACTCACTTGGGATGCAGGCACTGGTGTGTGGTGCCCCCGGGGTGACGACTGCCCAGCTCGGCCAGCGGACGCTCCAGTGCAACCACAGCACGTTTATTAACAGGCAGGTGGGGGCGGGGGAAGGAGAGGCCCAAAGGGAGCTTCCGGAGGTGGCAGCGGCCAGCAGGGACAGCTGCATGCAGTCTGCGCCTGTCTAGCGGGTGACCACGTGTCCACACCCATCTCCAGTATACAAGTCATGTGACTATGTTGTAACCCCACTCACCCCTACAGGGAAGTACCCGGCCCGCAGGGCGAGCTGGCCCCAGGCCTGTGCCGACCCAGCCGCTCTCCGAGGCTGCAGCCCTAGAAGCCGATCTTGCCTCTGGTCATGGAATAGCCCAGCTTCGCCTCGTTGTTGATGAAGGACATCAGCCCCACGTAGGTCTCGATGAGGAGCGGCTGCTCCAGGACCAGCACGCTGGTGGCCTGTCCCGGCAGAGGACTCTCTTTCTGGGCCTTTTTGACAGCTTGGATCAGCAGGGACTTGAAGCTCTCCAACTTGAAAGAGAGAAAACAGCTGGTCAGAGTGAGCCACGGAAGGAAGCCGCCGCCCCTGGCCCGCACCAGCCCAGCCCAGCCCTCCTCCCTGTGCCTCTGCTTGCCTGCTCAGTGGGGCTCTGGAAGCCTCGGATCACAGCTGTGCTCACTGCTGGGCGACAGCCAGGACCCGGAGCCTCGCTCTCCACAGGCCTGAGTGGCTTAGCCACAGCGAGCTACCAACCCTCACCCCCACCCAGCCAGGAAGCAGGCCAGGCTAGTGGGCGACCTGCCCAGGCCTCGGCACTGCCCTCACCACTGGCCACAGCCTCCTGTGATGAGCATACAGACTGCCTGGCGCTGCCACAGGCTGGTCAGCTACCCTGCCCAAAGCTCTCTGGCCCTTTCCCAAGACAATCTCGGCCACAAGGGCTACCGTAGGAAGTGGGGTGACCAGTGGCTGCCAGTCACATGGGCTGCTCAACCCTAAGTCAGCTAACGCCACTGAGAATTAAGAGCGTGTTTCCTGTCTTGCTACCCACTCCTCAGTGCTCAGCAGCCACGTGTGGCCGCCACAACAGGCAGTGCAGGCCTAGAACCTCGCTACCCCTGGGGCAGTGCTGCAGCCTCGGGCTCTTACTTGGCACAGAGAGACCGTCTTCTCATCCGCACCCGCCATCGGATGTTCCACGAACGTGGTGTAGGGCACGTTGGTGGACCAGGGGTTCCACCTGTGTATGAAGGAGGGGCGGCTCTGCTTGTCCCACTGAATCCGAATGCCCAGGCCTTCTCGCCTGCAGGGTGAGAGAAACAACCCGGCTTCACCAGCAGGCCACGGCCTCCCACGGCAGCGGCTCAGTGATGGGTGTGACGTGAAAAAGCCGGTCGTGGTTGAAGACAAGGCCTGTGGCCTCGGGAGTAAGCAGTCTCCGGAGAGAAGGGCTGTTTCCCACCTGCTGGCCGGGCACGAGACACTCGTGTCTGCACTGACGTTCACTCAGGTAATTTTCCGTGCTTTCTGAGACACGGTGCTCGGGTCTCCACAGAGGGGCTGACACCTCCGGCCGGGCGCCTGCTTCCTGAGCTCCCTGCAGCCCTCGCCTCCGGAGCTCGGCACCAGCGTGTAACCCGGTGGCCCACACTCCTGCCTGGCTGCTCATATTTTAGGAAACTCGCTCCAGCATGAGGGTGAGCTCCTGGTTAAAGCAGTGCTACTGCTGCCTTGGGAAAGCGGGCAGAGCAGACCCGACCCGACCCGCGGCTGTGTTCCTTGTCGGAGTGAAACGCTGTCTGGTCCTTCGCTGTACGGGGAATCCACGCGCCTACAAGCCCAGCAGCGGTTCTGGTGCCGCACTGGTTTCTACTCTGAGACTATGGGCTCTGCAGCTGGTGAGAGAAGCGCGGGGCCCCGCTGAGCACTTACTTGTTGAGCGATTTCGGGGGGAACTGGAACCGGCCGCAGGAGATGGTGTCCACGGCGCGGAGGGCGATGCGCACCACCTGCTGGCACTGCAGGGTGATGAAGTCGTACTTGCAGATGAGCAGCGACTGGTCGGTGATGAGC